TGTTTTTCTGATCTTTCAGTTAAATCAATAAAATGTTTTTGGAAGTAAACAAAGCCTGTGAGTCAGAGTCATGTTGTTGTCGACTGATGAAGATGAAGATGAAGATGAAGAGTGTCTCTCACCGTGTAGCGCTGGATGGAGCGGTAGACGTGGTAGAGTTCTGCCAGGTGCTGGAAATGTTCAAACTTCTTCAGCATCTCCCCCCTCTGCTCCTCACTCTCTGGGGGAGAACCACAGGCGGGCCCCGGTGCGTGGGACAACGGTCAGTGGGGACCCGGGCAGTGGGACCCCCCCCCCAGCCCCCCCCCCCCCCCAGTCGGACCACCTACCTCTTGCGATGTCCAGACACTGCATAGACAACATCCAATAATAGTATCCTGCATCATTGAACCTGTTCTCCACTACTGCATTGTGGGTAAGCTGCTCCAGGAACTTGACGGCTTCACTCTGTTGCCCCGCCCTGTGAAACGCTGTGATGAAGAGCAGACTGTTACCATGTGTTCACCCACAAACGTCTCTCTCTCTGTGTCAAAGTGCTGACGTGGAACCGTATGTTGAGCTCACGTGTGTTCATGATGATGTCATTCTTCACTGACTCCCTGACCGTGGGTAAACGCCACCTACCACCTACCACGTACCACGTACCACGTACCAAGTACCAAGGCCCCATGAACATGAAAGGAGCAGATTACATAACAGTGGTGACATCATCAGTGTGTGTGCACTGATGATGTCACCACTGATCAAAGGCAGGTGACCTCCAATGGTTTCCACCTGTTTAGCCCGGGGTGGGGGGGGGGGGGGGGTACAGTACTGTGACTGGTAAAGATCAGTCTGATGACTCAACACCTCCAGCAGCCAATCAGCTTCAGGTCTGAGCTCCTGCTGACTCCCTACATCCAGACCTGCTCTGCCTCCTCATCTACTGCATCTAGAGAACATCAGAGGAAGACCACGGAGAGGAAGAACCAGTGTGACTGGTCGTCACAGCTAATTACAGCAGTGATAATTAGCAGTTTAACAGAGTGGTTCAGCTCAGCTGCAGCCGACACGTCAGTCTGTCCTTCATCACCTCCACACCTCAACACTGTTCTTCTCAGGCCCAGGTTTTTAGATCTGAACAACCACAAGTAATAAAATCTCCAGTGTAGTGGGAGTTCAGAGGGTCTCCATCACCCAGCTAACAGCTAACAGCTAACAGCCAACAGCTAACAGCCAACAGCTAACAGCTAACAACTAACAGCCAACAGCTAACAGCCAACAGCTAACAGC